GGATCAATTTAAACTTAGCTCGAGGGTTATTGTATCTATCGGTAAAAATCTAAAGGTTTATAATACCCCAAACCCAAACCAATCCTCGAACCAATCATTCTGACGAAGTCTTCCAAAAATAAAGGCAATGTTAAATCCAGCACAAACCAAAGACGAGATAAAAAGTTTCCCTCGTATTTCCAAAAGATGATTACAGGAGATATTTACACAGGGAGGCTTATAAAGAAACGAAATAAAGTAACCTAAAACTATTTTGGGGTCACATCTTTTGCAGCTGCATCTTCAGAAGTCGCACCTTCGAGAGCGTCATACTCGGGGACTTCATATTTGTCTCCTTCACTCTCAGAACCACTGGCTGAATCATCCTCGTTGAAAAGCAGAATGACAACCTCTTCTTCCAAAATCTTTGCCATTTCAATATCGGCTAAAAGATCGAAGCTGCGAGCGTGCACCTCCTCGAGGGTTATCCTCCGGGATTGTCGCCTAGCATGGTCAAGAGTACTTGATAAATTAGCCTCCGCCGCAGAAAAGATATCCTTTTCCCGAACATTAGCTGCTTCGACATCAGCTCGATACGAAGACATAATTGCATCAACATCAGATTTGGCCTTGGCCAGCTCAGTAGCAGATCTGGCTTTAAGCTCCTCAATCTCGAGGCCCCGAGCTAGGCTCTCCTCCTTCTCACTTCGAAGCTAGGTTTTGAGGGAAGCTAGTTGCTCTCTTAGAGTTTCCTTCTCAGAGGCGAGATTATCCATACTTTGCCTCCACCCCAGGGCCTCAGCTTCTTTCATCTTAAGCTCCTCCCGAATCGGCGACTCCAAGTCGGCCTTCTGATGAAACTACGAAATTAAAGTGTCAGTCGCCAAAACAAACAAGTGAATAACAGACCCTCGAGAGCTGTATTACCTTCTCAACATACTTGGTTTGTCCTTGGCATGGCTGCGTCAACTCAACTCGTAGATCGTAGATCATAGATCTCCATATCTTTCTTAGCATAGAGGGTTTTGACGACCTCCCTGTCATCCGAAATCTTCTTAAGCTCAGCCTCGCATCGAGAAAGATCGGTTCCAGACTTAGAAAATGCCCTTTTATGGAGAACTACAACCTTTATAAAGAAGAAGGAAAGATAGATTCAGAACAGCTAAAACAAAGGCGCAAGCATAAAGAACAGAAAACTCGCTTGTTTAAAGAGTCTACGAGCCTCATCAAAAATGAAATAAGCATCTGGGTCAGGGCCATCTTCAAGCCCTGTGAGACATTCTCGAAAGATGTCATGCCCTTAATGGCTTCCTTCCACTTCATAAGACCTCATATTCTAAGCATATCGGATTTGTCCCTCGAAGAACTTGGGGCCAGGAGGTGAATCATCCACATTGATTACCCTAAGTGATCAACTCGGGGCATTCTCCTTTATTTGAAGAGGCTCGGGATTAGGTCGTTCGGCCTCTCCCTCCAAATAGCCTCCTAGGTGAGGTGCCTTTTTCCTACACGATGGCTCGGGGACTTTGTTTGAGCTCTCCTCGGAGATTTCTTGGACTCTAGAATGAGCCACATCAACCGTCACCGGCTTGATAGGCTTTGAAGCACTGACATCTTTTCTTTCACAGGTTACCAGCAAGCATTCATCATCATCTTCTTCTTCTTAATCCCGAAGGTGTTGGGCCGTTTATGAAGATAAGACCGTCGTATCGGCCTTGGGCCTTCGAGCCATGTTGTTCTTCGGCTTTAGAGGATTCTTAGGTGACTCTCTTCTTCTTTTTCTTTCTTTAGAAGACTTCGGAACCTCTACCTCATCAGCCGGGGCCGACCACAAATCAACAGCGTATCCAAGACCTATATGAAATCGAGGTAAGTACCCCATGAGAGAAGCACAAGAAAACAAACAAGAGAACTCACCATGGTTTTTGGCCTCCCATCGACCCTTGGCCAGATCTTGCCAGCAACGATCCGAATAAGAATAGGTGGAGGTCAGCTTTCGAACCTAGCCCTCGAGGTTCGAGACCCCACCAGGAAACCAAATAGTGGTTGCACCATCGTAAAGGGACTACACCAAGGAAAAATATAAAGCCGGGGAAAAGAAAAGAAAGTAGGCTATCAGCCTGCTACGTGCTCACATTTCATGTTCCACTCCTCGGGGAACGACATCCAATCAGCAGTAATCAGGTCAGAGACAACAGGCTCATCTACCCACGGTGTTTGTCCTCATTAATACTAGAGAAAAGAGATTTCAAGGATCAGAGTTGCAATTTTATCAAACCCCCTTGATAAAGTCGGGGACTGTACAGTCTGATCAGGTGGTCGAGGGTAAAAGACATCCCCTCAACTTGGCGCGAAAAGAACTTGATTAAGTATACAATTTGCCAGAATGTGGGGTAGATATGGCCAAACGTCACTCGGTATCATTGACAAAAGTCAAGAATAACTGGATCTATGGGACCTTGAACCAAAATTGCAGGACCCAACATAAATGGGTAGGTATATACACTCAAATACCCCGCTTTATATGTAGTGATGTCCTCTTTGGAGGAAGGAATCACTATTTTTTTATTATCCCACTTGCAATCCTCCTTTACTTGCTCGAGCTCGGCCTTGGTCACCAAACAAACATATCGAGACATGGGCTTGCATCGGCCTGATGTCGATGCAGGTTTCTCGATTTTGAATCGGATGTTATTTCACATAGTGGGGGGATGCATTCCTCAATATGAATGGGCACTACCGGTTTACTCTTGGTCGGTCGAGAAGATGAAGAAGCTTTTCCTTTCTGAGAAATTGATTTAGAGGTTTTAGCCATTGCAAGGTGGAAAATCCAAGAAAATGAAGAGTGTTGATAGTGAAGAGAAGGGAAAATTCAAGGAAATTGAAAAATGCTAATGAGACTTTGAGAACAATATGAGAATAGAGTTTGTAAGGTTGTGAAATTTATCTATTTATAGAGATCATTTAAGCGTGCTGGGGAAGCCAAAAGGCCGATCGTCAACCGCCTCCAATTAATGACCTTAGGAATCGCAGAAAAAGTAACTTTTCAGTTACTTCAGTCGTTGATGTCAAGATATTGGCATCAGGATCAAGGTATTAAGGACTAATTCATCAAAAATCATAAAGGGAAGCCTATAAGTTGAGTTCGAGTAGAGTATCCACTCGATTACTAAGCCCAAGGGCTATCCGAGTTTGAGGAATTTCTCACTCGAGGACTATAAAAAGGCTTAAGGGCCAGCTTTGTTACAAGTTTGAGAAAATGCCCGCTCGACTGCTAAGCCCAAGGGCTACCCGAGTTGGAGAAATTTCTCACTTGGGGACTACAAAAAGATCTAAGGATTAACTTTATTTCGAGATTTTGCTCTCACTCGGGAATCACAATGTTCCGAGTTCACATTTAAGCTCAGCTCGAGGATTAACGAGAACCTCGAGGGGTATTATATTGATCGATTAAAAACCTAAGGGTTTACTATATCCTAAGATTCGATATTTGGGCTAGTCATTAAAATACAATCGATTTTTTTTTACAAGTAAAGATAAAATAAAATTCAACACGGGCCAAAAGGGATACAAAAGGATTCTTTTATATTTCCAAGAAATGAATACAAAGTATAAGTACGACACCCACGAAGGGTACTAACACAGGAACAAAGAATCAAAAATAAAATCCAAAGAACCTAATCCACTTTTAAGACCACGGCCTCGAGAGCATCGTCTTCAGAAACCTCCTTCCCCGGGGCACCATTTCTGATCGTTGGAAAAAGAGATTTAGGGCAGAAGGCTCTCGATAAATATAATTATTTGTCCAGTAGCCGAGATTGAGCATTCCGTTGAAGTTTTGGGCCATAATACATTGAAAAAGGACAAGCTAAAGGAAAAGACCAGAAGATGTAGCTTCTCCTTTTGTCACAAGAAAAAACAAAAGGGGTTGCAAGATGCACGAGCAACAATCCAAGAGTGTTCATCCTTGGAACATTGTTCCGGTGTGGGATGCAAAAGTTAGTAGATGATAGTGCCATCTCATTTTATGGAAAGCAAAAGAAATGAAGTGCCATGTTATGGACCCAGATGTTAAGGTGGAGAGTAGGACAGTCCTTCAGGAAGCTGACACGGATAGTGAGATGGACGCCAACGTGGAAGGACAAAAAGAAACTTTGAGAAGAAGTTTACGTGAGAGGAAAACGCCAAAGAAGCTAACAGATTTTGTTGTGCGTATTGGCTGATCACGTGATGGATGCAACATGTTGTTAGGATAGAATAAATAACCGGATATCATTATGAATATGCAAGCAATGAGTAGTCTCTTCTGATTCTCACCTCTGTTATTCTCTACTCTTTCATCCCCTTCTTATTATCCTTAAGAGTTCTAGTGATATTCCTTTATAATTTTAGTCATTTACTTCCTCTGTAATCATCCGGTTATTTCCAATCAACGTAGTTAGTTTGGGATAGAAATCACTATTGTTACATTGGTGCTTTCATTCTGCTCGGCTTCACTGTCCGCTGAATTATCTGATTCTGATATGTGCACTGTCATGGCAATCCAAGTTGTGGTGCTTTAGGATTTAGCTGCACAGGTAGCTAATATTGTCGGTCATTTTTCGGTAACTGAGGCTTCTCAATACGCTGGCTATGTGGTGCAGCTTGGTGCATATGGCGTTCATAGTGGTGGATCTTCTGCACCTCGCTATAAACCGGTGTTGGTCGAGTTTGGACATTTCAATGGTTCTCGCCCAGAGGCTTAGGTTTTTCAAGCTGAATGTTACTTCAATTTTTACGGTATTGTGGTAGAGCATAAACTGATAGTGGCCTCCTTCTACCTCGATGGTGAGGCACTCGAGTGGTATCGATGGCTCTATCGGAATAAGCAGCTTAGCGATTGACCCAATTTTGCTGATAAATTGTTGTGTCGCTTTCGTCAACATCATATGCTCTCACCGGCTGGTCGTCTTTCTAAGATGCAACAAACCTCAACAGTAGTTGATTTTCAATGTCATTTTAAGTCCCTGCTTAATGAAACGATGTCGCTACCTGAGGAGTTTCTAGTGGAGTGTTTCCTTTTGGGCCTACGACCCGATATCCTTGCATCTTTTAAGGCCCATAAACTTACTCAATTGGATCAGGTAATTGATTTGGCCCATATCCATGAGCAACGCTTAATTGCTAAGAAAGTGCCTGCTCGACCCGCTTTTTCAAGGACCCAACCTCGATTACCCATGCCTGGCCTCACTTCTTCTTCTCTGCCTGTTCAACCTCTACAGACCACTTTTTCCAGTACCGCCCGCTTACCGATTAAACGCCTCACACTGACAGAAATGTATCACCATCGAGAATTGGGCTTGTTCTTTAACTATGACGAAAAATACTCAGTTACCCACCGTTGTAAGGCGGGGCTCCACCTACTGCTACTTGTTGAGGAAACTGACAATGTTGTGGTATTACCGGAACCATTTGTTTCCGATAATGTCCTAGTTGAGGAACTCCAATGCTTGGAGGTTCAAGAACATTCCGCAATTTCTTACCATGCCTTGGCTGGCAGAACCTCACCTAATTCGATGTGCTTCGTGGGTCATGTGAATGGCTCTCCCGTTCAAGTGCTACTTGACGGCGGCAACACACATAACTTCATCCAGACTCGAGTCACTCAATTCTTTCAGCTTCAAGTTGAGTCGACACCCTATTTTTCTGTGGTGGTCGGTAGTGGTCAATGTTTGCCTTATGAGGGCGTTTGTAGACAGGTATCCCTTACCATTCAGGGCAGTACTCTCGCCTTGGACTTTCATGTTTTGCCTCTACATGGTTCAGATTTAGTTTTGGGTGTATCGTGGCTGGACACATTAGGACCTGTGATTACTAATTATAGGGCTCGTCTATTTGAGTTCAACTATAAAGGTCAACGCTACAGTTGGCGTGGCGATCCTCCTATAGAGCTCCAACCTGTTCAATTGCATAGTCTTTGCCGCATGGCTGCCACGCACGCTATTTCCTCTTTTTATCGATTGGAATTGGTGACTGATGCTCCCCTAGTTTCAGATGCCCCACCACCGGAGATAGCGGAATTGTTGGACTCATTTTCCCAGGTATTTCAGAAACCGCACGGGTTACCACCTACTCGGCCGCTTGATCATGCAATTCACTTATTACCAGGGTCCAAACCGGTAAATGTTAAACCGTATCGCTACCCTTATTTTCAAAAGAATATTATGGAACAACTGGTGGGTGACATTCTAAAAGAGGGAATCATTCGTCCGAGTACCAGTCCATTTTTATCCCCGGTTCTATTAGTGCAAAAAAAGAATGGGACATGGAATTTTTATGTGGATTATCGTGCTTTGAATGCAGTAACGGTTCATGACAGATTTCTTATTCTGACCAGTGATGAATTATTTGACGAATTGCATGGTGCCCAATTTTTCTCCAAATTAGACTTGCTTTCCGGCTACCACCAAATCAGGGTCCGGCTTGAGGATGTTGGGAAGACGGCATTCCGTACTCATGAGGGACATTTCGATTTCTAGTTATGCCGTTTGGGTTGTCAAACGCCCTCTCCACATTTCAAGCCACTATGAACTCTGTTTTTCGCCCCTATTTGCGTCGGTTCGTTTTGGTTTTCTTCGACGATATACTTGTGTACAGCCCTAGTTGGACCGCACATTTGGAGCATCTTCACTTGGTTCTACAGCTCTTGCACAAAAACTACTAGGTTTCCAAGTGGTCAAAGTGTGTTTTCGGCCAACAATCGGTGGATTATTTAGGCCATGTGATCTCAGTACCGGGTTATCTGTTGATCCAGCTATAATTATGGCTATCTAGCGCTGGCCTCATCCCAGATCAGTCAAGGATGTCTGTAGTTTCTTGGGTCTTATGGGATACTACAGGAGATTCATCCACTATTATGCCTCAATTGCCGCACCCTTGACTAATTTACTTCGCAAAGATGCTTATCAATGGACCCTTCTCAGCAAGTTGCTTTTGAGACTCTAAAAAATTGCCTCAGTTCCACCCCTGTACTGGCTCTTCCGAACTTTACCAAGCCATTTTGATTAGAAATTGATGCGTTTGGGGTGGTCATCGGAGTCATCCTTACGCAAGAGGGGCATCCAGTGGCCTTCTTTAGCCAAAAGCTGAGTAGCCATATGCAACAAGCCTCCACTTATCACCGGGAGATGTTTGCAATCATTCAAGCGGTTTCCAAGTGGCGATAATATTTATTAGTTCGTCATTTTACCATCATTACTGACCAACACGCTCTAAGGAACCTAACCGATCAGACCATTCAAACTCCAGAACAACAAAAGTGGTTTGGTAAGTTGGCTGGGTACGATTTTACTATCGAATACCACCCGGGAAAGAACAATTGAGCTGCTGATGCTTTGTCCCGAGTTCCAGAGTTGGAATACATGGCCATAACAGGGTGTGTGCCCATATTTGTCACTGACTTACGTTTGCTTAACACAACTGACCCTGAGCTACTTGCACTTCAGCAAACCATTGCTCGTGATCCAGCCCTTCTACCTTATTACAGTTTCCGTGGGGGGCTACTATTCTTTAAGGGTCGACTGGTTATTCCTTCCAGCTCTCCTCTACGCCAATAAATATTGTTGGAATTCCATGCATCTAGTATTAGAGGGCACACAGGTGTGGCGCGCACGTATCTTCGACTTGCTTTTAATTTTTATTGGAAGGGCATGAAAAGTGATGTAAAGGTATTCATCGCTTCTTGTTAGATTGCCAACAAATGAAGGACCTCCATCATCACCCCGCTGGATTACTTCAGCCCTTGCCTATTCCGGAGCTAGCTTTTGAGGACATTGTAATGGACTTTATTACCTGCCTCCCTAGTTCGAAGGGTAAAACAACAATCTTGACAGTGGTAGACCGTTTGACCAAGTATGCCATTTTATTCCCTTTCCATCTTCTTTTACTATTGAATCGGTTGCTGTGACTTTTGTGGGGGAAGTCATACGATTACATGGGCACCCTCACGCCATTATTACAGATAGGGATCCACGGTTCATTCATTCTTTCTGGCAGGAGATCTGCCGCTTATAGGGGACTACTTTGGCTATGAGTATGGCTTATCATCCCCAAACCAATGGTCAATCCGAGGCCTTGAACAAATGTATCGAGCAATACTTGCGTTGTTTCATGGCAGACGCGCCTAAGAATTGGGTGGCTATGCTTCCTTGGGTTGAGTTTTGGTACAATACATCCCTGCAATCTTATGCTGGCATGACGCCATTTGAGGCTCTTTATGACAGGAAAGCCCTTTCCATCACTCGGTATGTCACAGGGGATAGCTCAAGCGAAATGGTTGAACAATTTTTGTTGCAAAGGGATGAGGCATTGGATTTGCTAAAGGGGAATTTACTCAAGGCATAGAAGCGTATGAAAGCTCAGGCCGACCAGCATCGTTTCGAGACTTCCTTCCAGGTAGGAGATTGGGTCTACGTTAAGCCCAGGCCCTTCCGCCAACAGTCAGTCCGTGGACAGCCTCACCAAAAGTTAGGACACAAATTCTTTGGTCCCTTTCAGGTGCTCAAAAGGGTTTGGGCAGTTGCTTACAAGCTAGAGTTACCTGATGCCACACGCATCCACCCCGTATTCTATGTTTCGATGCTCAAAAGATGTTTTGGGCAGCCTGCTAACCAGATCACCCCTCTATAGTTGACAGAATTTGCTCTGGATCAGGTCCAACCCTCTTCGAACCTTGAGGACAAGGTTCTCAATTCAGGTTGGGGTAATGTTATGGACCCAGATATTGAGGTGGAGAGTGGGACAGTCCTTCAGGAAGCTGACATGGATAGTGAGATGGACGCTAGCGTGGAAGGACAAAAAGAAACTTTGAGAAGAAGTTTACGTGAGAGGAAAACGCCAAAGAAGCTAACAAATTTTGTTGTGCGTATTGGCTGATCACGTGATGGACGCAGCAGGTTGTTAGGATAGAATAAATAACCAGATATCATTATGAATATGCAAGCAATAAGTAGACTCTTCTGATTCTCACCTCTGTTATTCTCTGCTCTCTCATCTCCTTCTTATTATCCTTAAGAGTTCTAGTGATATTCCTTTATAATTTCAGTCATTTACTTCCTTTGTAATCATCCAGTTGTTTCCAATGAATATAGTTAGTTTGGGATAGAAATCACTATTGTTACATGCCACACCAGATTGAAGTTAAGAAATATGAGCAGCAGTGTAAAGTTCGTATATCTCCTGATACGGGAAGGATTCGATGCCCTTCTCTCGTTGTCTCGAGCTGAAGCTTTGAAGAAGGGAGCCTTGGCGTAACTGGTAAAGTTGTTGCCATGTGACCTTGCGGTCGCAGATTTGAACCATAGAAATAGGTGATTAGAGGAGAAAGTAAAGAAGGGAAAGGACTAAAAGTAGGCGAAGATGGAAGAAGTACAGTTTTTGTTCACCAAGTAGCCTCTTATTTATAGAAAGCCAATGACGGGACCGGTGGCGCAAGTGGCCGACAAATGCTGAAACGTATTTGATATTTTAGGGAAGCATGCTAACATGACATTTCTGATCACTTCAAGCGCCTACGTACGTCACGGGCATGACGTCACCACGAGAGGCCCGGGAAAATCGAAGTTCAAATCGTTTCTAATCATCTTATTCTAAGAAATGCGGGGACTATCTGTATACGGTGAAAATCAGAGAGCTCGATTTCGAAGGCTTGATCATACCCCGAGCTCGAGTTCGGGAAGCTCGAAGTAAGGATCAAGCCTGAATTAGATGTGCGCACCTCGAGAAGAAAGTCGAAAACCCGTCATGGCCCGCCTCGAGGGTAGTAGAATTTCGATGACACTCAAGAAAGAGCAGGAATTTCTCAAGGAAACGTGGGTCAGGGCATAAATTATGAGATAAGATTTGTATGAAATAGTACAGGTCCGTACTAGGTTGTTATACAGTTGTACCAATAGAATTCTTTACCATAATTGGAAATGTACCATATTAGGGTTTTCCCCTCCTATATAAAGGAGACCTCAATCATTTGTAAAGATCATCTCATTCATTGCAATAGAACATTCTACTCTGCTTTTCTCGTTTACTGTGCTCTACAATTGTTCTTCAGCTTTATTGTTTTACTTTATAGCTCATATTTTATTGTTCTTAACTCACCTCGAGGCCCCTGAGATAATCGAGCTTGAGGCCCCTATTGCTCTAACAATGCTGGTTTGGTTCATCAATTCTTCTTACTTAAGCTTAGTATTACTTGTATATTCACTAGTATTGAAATAAATCACATATCTTTAAAATCACAAATCACATTTAATTGTTACTCGCATTTTTCGAGGTAAACAAAGTCGGCTATATGTCATCACAACTAACTGGAAAATTTGGTCATTAAAACTGACATGAGATTTTTTGCTTGAACCTCATGTAAAAATATTCTTATTAGAGTGAGGTACTTAGAGAAAGTAACTACGATTCCAAATAATATTACTACAAAATAGCATGTTATTAGCTCACTAGCTAGTTCTATTTGCAGATAATTCTTCTATCAGTCTATTCAGAAGGCCGACTTTTTCATAAATTGGCATGAAAAGTAAATGAGAGTGCCATAGTATAGCTCCTACGTACTCTTTTCTTGATTTTTCCTCTTNCCCTTCCCCGCATCCCAGAAGCAAAAATAGGTTAAATATATCGATAGCTCCCTTAAATTGTCAGAAATTTTTAATTAGATATTTTTTCTAAGAGTCCGACCTATTTGAATATTTTACATTTGTAGAAAATTAAACATGCCTACTAGCCGAAAGGACAGCTCTTCACCTCTCAATTTTGGGTGACAAGCACATCATTTGCCATGTCAGCATTAAGAGTTCAATAAACACATGTTTTCAATAAGCCGAACTCTTAGATAAGATGTCTATACAAAAAATTATCGAGTTTAAGGAATCATTGGTGTATTTAGCTAAAAAGAATGAAAAGAGAATGCATACATACATTGCCACATTGGCATTAGAAGGTATATTCTTGGTGTTATTTTTGCCAGTTGTTCCGTTTTATATCAGTTGTTCAGTAGATGATCCTCTTTTTAATTTTCTTGCAAGTTGCAACTAATGGACAGTTTAGACCAAGGTTTAAAGAATTTCTTTGAGAAACCAGAAAATCTTATGAAAAACCGTTAGGCCACGGTATAAGAAATCTAATATTTTGTGAGCAAGCTGAAAATTATATAAGCAAATATTAAATCGAATCTAACGTTGTCCGGAAGGAATAATTTTCAGAGGGCTATATTTGCGTAACTTATAAAAATAGGAACAAAATCTAAACAGTGACCTTAGAAAAGGACATTTGTGTAATTAAGCCGTTTGCATGTGCTGGTCCACTTGGGCAAATCGGAGCCCAACTTCATCGGGAGAAATCAGTAAAAATAGCACGGTATAGCCAGTTTTCGAATTGGTCATTCAAAAATAGCCAGTGTTTACGAAGTCAATGAAAAATAGCCACTATTTTGCTGCATCAGAGACCAGTCCAGCATAATATACTGGAGTTCGGTGCACCT